TACCTGTCCAGAGCGCCCTAGGGTATTCAGGCAACTAGTACACTTTTTTGGTCTTATCCACGGACAAGATGCAGATCAGCGCAGTTCGGGCCTCCTGTACCATGTCACTACAAGCATACTCAGCCCCCATTATAAAATGGATGGTTCTATTCGAGCAAACAGTAATGATCAGCCAAAACTTGCACATCACCAGAGTATTGTTCAAGTTGCAAGCGTCTTTGCGATAGGAGATATGTTGGGGTGGCGCTTTGTAGTCTGGTTATGCAGAATAGAGGAACAGCATGTCTGTCACGGACGTAAAACGCGGTATTTACACTGCGGCGGCCATTGCGCTCAATATCACTCGCAATCAGTTTGGATTGGCCAATTACTTGGCGGTTAGGAGTGAAGGGGACGCTACGTCGACCTGCTGTTTATTTCCTCATTATAAACAATAAAAGGCGTCTTTAATTATCATTACGAGCTAGCCGCTGTGGCTAGTAATGTTTCTAACAGAAGGATAACTCGTTACTACTTACGACTAACGGTCAAGCTGTTATATCTCCTTATTTACGTAATAACAGAGACACTTAACTGAAATATGATGTGAAGTTGCAGACTATGCACTTTGATATGCACGTACGAACTACTTAGCTTTATCAGCCAATTATGTAGCAGTCTTGCTAGTGAAACATGTGTGAAAGGACAGTGAGGGAAATAGGGTCGTCAAGTTAAAAGAAATTAACTACTGACCGCCGCTTTCTGGGTAACGGTGATCCTCTCTAATCGTAGTGACGATTGCAAAGACCACAAAGATTATGTTACTTAATATTTTACGGTGTCGAAACCACTACTACACATGAAAAGAACTTGACTTCTAACTATGCAGTTGGACATGAGGAAGAATCGGGTTACATGAGTATTCTGGAGGGTTTATTTCATAAAGAAGCGAACCCTCAGTACAAAATATAAACTCGAACAAGAAAGACAATATACTTACCGTCAGAAAGACTGGGATGATGGAAATCCAAAGCTAAGGACTGTGAAGTGATTTCATTCCGTCGGCGATACGGAAAATCGGAGGCTTTCCCAGTAGACTGGAAGGCAGGACAACAAATGATGCAACCGGCATGGTCGACTTCGCGACACCGCGGATGCGTCAGTGGTAGTGGGATTGTACTCCCTGGGACGTGGAAAGTGGTCAACAGCGATAAAAGGTCTCACCTGAAAACTTGAAATCCAAATGCTTTAGATTGTTCAAGGAGAAATAGGAGTGACGGGGCTTGTCTGACTTCTCGAATGGCAGGATCCGGCTGCACGTTCCCATTGTAGCTGGTTCGATGAGACCTCCCTGCGAGAGAAGCGGTAACGACTTCCGCCACTTTTTGCAACGATGTCGCAGTGGCCTCAGGTTCTGCAAACAATCCAGGGCTCGAACCATTTCAGTTTGTAATAGGAACCAGTGTGACCGCATAGTTGCACGCGCCTGATACCACCTGAAACAACAATTATGGGCAAAGGATAGACTTGCGATTTTGAGCTTCGGGTAACAGGGGTGGCGAATTCATCATCATCGGAACTCGATTCAGTGTTTTCTGACAGGTGTTCTTCTGATACTCGATTGGGTTGAGTTTCCGAAGACGGCCGGAAACCTGGTGTAGGAGATTTTAGTTTCGAAAGAATAAGGATAGCTCGCCTCTCGGCAAGCCGACATCGAGCGGTCAGCCGACGTAGGCGGGCGTCCACGGCCTCAGTGTGGATATCTGCAGATGTCGCTAGACTGATCGGTAATGGTGAATTGGACATGTCGTTGAACTGGGGGTTCGCTGAATCCGACTGGAGAAATCTAGGCACTGTGGCAGCGTAGACATCCTTCTCAGGACTGACAGAGTAATCGCAGCATGGAGATCGAATATCCAGAGTGGAGTTAAGAAATTTCGAATCCGTTCGGGGGGCCATAAGCTTGGGATTTGTCTGGAGCTTGTATTGGAAACTAAGTGGGTATTTGCAAATACTGATCGGGCGATTGGTGCTATTGTGGTTAGTAACGACTACTGCTTCTTCAGTTGAAAATCCATTCAAGTTTATCTTTTCCATAAAAAATCCCCAGATTGTGAAACAGCATTTCTAGAGAAAGGAGCGCATGTTAGTCACTCATGACTCAATACGTTCAATATACGCTTGTTTACAGGAACAATAAGTGTAATAGTAAAATTGCTGCCTGGAATAAACCTTTATTATCCGGCAACTTGACGACGGTAAATTGTCTTTGAAGAACGGGCCTCCAGAAGAAAATCCCATGAAATAGTATCACGACAAATCCCCATTGCGCAATGATGGTCCATATTTGGAAAATAAGCTTTAGTTAACTGACTAACCGCTTAAATAGACGGGATGGATATCCACGACGGAGGCCCAGAAGAACGAAGGTCAACATTTGAGAACGATTGAGAATATCGAACGCCGACAGAAATCAGGAAAGCGCGGCACAATGCAGTGCCGACGTCAGTAAAAGGTTCTAACATGCCG